CTCAATATAATTTTTCTGTTACGAAAATTAACAAAAAAATGTTTTTTTAATAAATCTTCAGCTTATCCTCAGCTTCAACTCAAGTTTCCTCACATTGGTCCCATTATAAGTCTAACAAATATTTACATTTGATGGAAAAGTTTTAAGACCTAATCTATAGACAAATAACTAATCTCTGTCAATTCTCTTTTGGATATAGGGTATTTTATTTGCTTACAAAAATTATACAGGCCAACATTTACAAGCACAGTTCTTCTGTTCTTCATACAACAGTCTCATCATTGCCGCCATTGCAGCATGAACTGCCACACACTAATAGTCAACCAGAGGCCTGAAACACAAAAACATCCTTTCAACAATGTAGTTAAATTTATATTATTTAGAATATTTGAAATAAGAAATTTAGACTTAAAATAGTTCAAAATAGAGCAACACACCAATATAAAAAATAATTGTTATTTCTTTCAAGAGCACAAGTTCTTGCAGCACAAAATTATCCATATATTATAGACAATTGATTATTTTACCATATGCACCTTTCTTTCCTTGTTTTCATAAAGTTGTCTTACAATGCCTCCAACCTATACAATTTTTAAGAGTGCATGTGGCATTGACTTTTATAAATGTAAATTACCGTAGACTCGAATACTCCCCACATATTTTTTTCAAAAATTGGAGTGCGGGTATTATTCACGTCAAGGTTAGTATTATACTTGCACGTTTCCAAGAGCCCTGGAATACCTACACCCTGACCATTACTACGCTTATTTGATTAAAGAATAAATGATAGCAATGAGTGTAGTTGAATCTGAACCAGAAATGTATGCTTCTGTGTAATAGAAAACATTTTGCACTGAAAAACTACCCACAATTTGATATAAAAATCCTGATGTCGAAATACCCCCCTCCCTCCTCTCACATCCAGCAAAAGAGAGCTAACAAAAATGTGTGGATAATACTGCAAACTTGACCATTTGACTGCTTGACCTTTCACCATGTAAGAAAAATTAGGTGCGATAGAAGCACAACAATTTGGTAACTGTCCAACAGGAAGGGAGTATGATGTGGATGAAAGTTGAATTCGTGACTGGCCTAAGAAAAAAACGTGTCTTGAATCTAATGTTAATCAGCCAGCAAAAACAAACTTAAAAGTTATTTTTCATTTATTGCATGTGCGAGATTGCTTCAGCATTAACAATGTAATAGCTCAATGAAACTATTTTCTTGCAATAAAAATAAAAAAAGTTGTGTTTTCGAGATTTCTTTCTGTAAAATTAGAAGGGGCGGGGGGCAGGAATTATTCAAGTATAAACAGTATGTATGAGCTTAGAATATCCAAGAGTAGGAACAATCATCCCCATAAAATAAACTATTTCTCTCAAGACCCTTCAATTGAAACATATTTAAAAATAAGTATTTACCTAATATAAGTTGAATCTGAATATAAGACAAGACCATAATTTTGAAGATGCGTAATGAATTTTTTTTTATTTTTGAAGTAATTCCTACCTTCTAGTCTAACATCATAGTCAAATCACCATAATCATGGTTTTTGTCAGTACCTCTTCATCTTCACATGTATCATTGTTCCTTCTCCCATTTTGCAACATCCTATGACTTTTTAGGCCCGTCTGAAAGTTTAGCACATTGAATTTTCATTCTTGGTATTTTAAATGATGTCACCTAAGAAAATTGGCTTCGGTGGCACCAAAATTTTCCCGTTTCACTAATTTGTGACCTCAAGTTTCTTTAACAGTTCTTTCACATTCTTTAACACAATATACTTGAAGTTCACTGAAGTTTTGTAGGCTTTAATGAAAACCGGAATTATACCACTTTTATAAATACTCTTCCTTCTACGCAACCAAAAAAATACCCTCAAAATTAAAATTTCTTAGTGATCTCTGGAATGCCACAACTAGATCTTATTCCTGATGAATTTACCAAATTTAAGCTCAGAAGCTTGTAATCTGACAAGTTACATGTGATACCTCCATCCAGATTTTGGGGGTAAAAAAATGTGTGCCTCCTTGCGAACTAACACTAATCTTAACCCTCTAACTGCTACAGACCAGCCGAAGACAGTGACAAACTGACAGCGCAATAACTTGTCCAGAGGCTACTATGCATGGAAATATTTTGCGAATAAATTTTTCTAGAGCAGTTGAAGGGTTAATCATCTTTGGATTAGTTCTAAAATACCTTAATGCTGATGTGAATGCGAAGTTACAACTCAAAAGAACATTAAATACAGATTTTACAACCAGAAATTCAATATCAAATTATGGAGATAATTCAAAAACTTTTCTCCATGTACTAGAGTACAGGGAGGAAAATTAAAAATTCTAAAACTGCTTAGGACAACTCTACATCTACCTGGAAGAGCAAATCTTTTTCCTGTTACCTGTGCCTTGGTGGCGGGCTGCGAGATCTTTCACGCTCCCTTTCACGGTCTCTCCAACGAGGAGGACCTCCATAATAACGGTCACCTGTGCCACGACTGTTACCAGACTGATCCCACCTATTGCGCCTGCAAACAGAAGTGCCAATAGTAGGAAACATTCAACACAATGTTTAACCAACACATCAAGCACTTCATACACTGTGGCAAGAATTCATTACTTCATTTTAGGATTAAAATTTGAGTCTTCAGAATCAGAAATCTGTGAAGTACTACAACAGCTTACGCAGACAATTATCTCTCAGAAATAATTCCCAATTAAATTAATTGATATTTTATAACAATAGATAGCCCACACTTTTATCAAAGAATTCCGGTATATTTCATAAAGTACTCATTTCTTTAAATTTTTTTACAGCAAACCATTTAAATTGGTGAATATACTTTAATCCCCTTAACATGTGTAGAGCGCCAAGTGTAATGTATTATTTTAACAAATTAGTACATTCAATTAACAAATTAATTGAAAAAAATTGAAGGGATATAAGAAACGAGTTTTCTATTTTGTAGTGCTTATTTGTTCAAATAATGAGAAAGAATATCCAAATAATAGTCAAAATGCAACATACCAATCAAAAACTTGTAGAAATCCTAATTTTAAACAGATATTTATATCATTACAATTATGAGCATTAAACCAATAACTTTACCTATATGGAGCAGGTGGAGGTTGATGGTGATGGTAATGGTGTTGCTGATACGAGTGCGACGAGTGGGAGGGATAAGGAGCCCTTGCTGGCGGGGGCGATGGAGAGCGGCTGGCACTGCTTCTGGCACTACTGCTAGACGAGGATGAACGGGAAGAACCACGTGACCGACGAGGGGGGCCTCTTCGTCCATTCTCTCCAGAGTTACCACCATCCACTCTGTCCCCACCTTCCCCATCTTCTGCATCATCATCGTCATCATCATGTTCTATGCCTCCATCTTCACCATCCTCTTCGTCTCCATCATCCTGAAGCATTACAACATTCATTCACATTCATTTATTAAAGTCAACAGACTCCTATTTAGTTTAATAAATGTGGTTGTTTAACAAAAGCAGTAATGTACATTTTTTCTTTCAGTAATTCATAAAAAGGTTGTGTGGAAAGAAAATAGAGGACACATTATCACATTAGAACAGCAGATCCCAGTTAGGGTACGTTTATGTTGGAACGAGGAGAGAGAATGTGTTGCGAAATCGCAGCGCTGATGTGTTCATGACGGAGCAACGTTGACGAAGAAGCGCCGCTCCGAATCTGCCAGACACATCTACAGGACATTCGGCTAAATTAACTCGTCCCTTCCATACCAACCTTATGTAAATCATCCACCATACTTCCTTAATTGGCTTTGGACTTTTCGTTACGATTTAAATTGAACTGCAATAGGAGTCAACCTCAACTTCATTCCCCTACGCAATGGAAGCATTACAGCCTATGAGGTCCATAGGTCTTTTTTTCGCTGGATATTGGCATGCTTGATAAAGAGAGATATATCAACCTCACACAATTCCCCCTGCAACATGCAGTAAACAGCTGTGTGGAGCCCACGAGAGAGTCGGTGCTAGTGCGTACCCATTTCGAAGTTTTTGTTCAGCAAGCGAATTCAATTGTGGTTTGTTATGGACATGTATTGTTATTTTATATTTGATTGATTACTTTTGAAAAACTCAATGGCCATTTCCTTTATTTTTACAGGGAGAAGCCTAGCCCTTGATGAGAGAAATTTGGAAATATGCGAATGAGTGTTTAAGAAATAATTTTGGAATTGGGTCTAGTATGAAGGAAAGGAAATCTATTGTGTGGATCTCCAAAATTAAGAGTATTTTCCACCAGATTATATATAAAATTAAAAAAGAAGACAAGTGCGAAGTTGTGTCAAAAAAAGTGACAATGTACTGAATATACCAAGTACGTGCAGTGCTCTATTATTCCACCAATTTCTATTATTCAAAGTCCCATTAGTCTGTCAGGTTTCATCTGTTAACACAGTTTACAGTTTGGTACATTCTCAGTATTTAGAAGGGAAAGTATAATTTTTTATTTAAAGAAACTAATTAATTTGAAATAAGATTGTTTTATTTTTGATTTTTCTGTGATAAGAAAATTGTATGTTATGCAATATACATCATAGAGAAAATAAAAATAAAATTTAAATAAGTTTTAAAGACAATTAAATTAAATGTAATTTAAATCGTCTTTAAAATAAGAAAGAATTCTTCACAATTTAATATTGCCTAAGACAATAATTTTGGTGTTCATTTTATCAATCTTGATTGAATTCTCAGTATGTGTTTCCTACTGTGCTTGTAGAGAGCCTCTAGTGTGGTGATATGTTGAACTTTAATTTAACTCAATATAAAGTCTGAATATTACACATACAAAAAATCATCAAATGTTCAAAATCTTTTCCAAAATATTAATTTTTTACGTGTCCTGAGTTAATGTTGACTGAACAACATAACACTCTCTCCCAATTTTTTAAAAATCTTTCATGAATTTGATCCAAGTTTACTTGGAAGACATTTGAAATAATTGTGTGTTTTTCAAAAACCATTGTAAACTAATAATTACGAATTATTAAGTAGAAACTGAACTGAATTTTAGAAAACAGATTATCAGAGAAGTGATAAAAGTAATTGGTAAGCTAGTTTTATTTTAAAATGTTTCTTAAATCTTAAACAGTAATAAACTGGAAGGCTGAGGGTAGTGTAGGGTGCAACACCTCAATATTTTGCCAAACAGTGGCATGGGACTATCTGATTTCAATTTTGACTGACACTTCAATTTTGATTTAATTTCAAATGTTCAAGGAAAATGTGATATTATATGTACTATCAAAAGCAATAATGTAAAAATATCTTTCAATAAACTTTCTAGTTAAAAAAAAAATTTTGTTTCTCACTGATTCAACATCTTGTTTTGTTTATTCACTGATACAACATCCACAATTGTTTAATAACATTAAAAAAATCAAAATAAATTCTTTTTACAATTTCTGTTATAAATTATGATTCTCTGAACTGCACCCACATTGTGAAGGTGCCATGGATAGCAAGCACATAAGAATTAATCATCCCAACCAATCTGGGACAACGTCTCAAAACTACAAGAAATTCTTTTCTAAGGTGTTGTGGATGCAAATTACAAATTCATTAACAGATGGAGTGGGCAGTTATGGCAAACAAAATAATGAGGGGTACCTTCTGAGTATCTACATTACAAAACGGACTCGGAATAATGCATTATCACTGACAGATGATGATGGGCTTTACTTAAGTTAACATTTAGTTTTCCACAACATAATACATCAATAAACATGAAACATAATTATTGGTATTTTTGTTGTTCATTGAAAAGCAAATGTAACCTAACTTCTAAAACTTATGTGTTATACTAATTTAGGCGGCCCACAATTTGTCTAAAACAAACATATTGCAGTGATTTACGTCCCTTTTGTCCCACAATTTACTCCTAACAAAAATTCAAATGATAAATTTCTCGCCAATCATTTTATTCGACACTTACAACACCTGAAGTGTGTCATCTGTGAACAGCACTAAGCAGCGAAAACCTACCAAAGGGTTTTCTCTGATCTTATTGCGGGTAGCAGCGGTGATCTCGTGATCAGCATGCTGCCAACATTAACACTTCCATTTGATTCCATGCTGACGTTCTTGTTGCTTCGCTTTCAGCGTGCCTCTCATCGCTTATCGCAGTTGTAACATAAATGTACCCTTTGAGAAACAGGCAAGAGAAAAACGGAAAAAGATCACAAACCTGCATGCGATGCCTGCGTTCTCTTTCTCTCCGTCTCAACTTTATAGCCATTTCACGTAGTTCATCTTCACGATCTTGTCGTTCTTGCTCAGCTTTTTCATGGCGTGCACGTTCTGCACGCTTGTCTGCTTTAACTAGACAATGAAACAAAGCAGAGAAGCATTACTTAAAGACTCACAAAAGGACATGAAAAACTTGCCTAATAAACAATTTACCATGTACATGGCTCTGATACCACAAGTATATTCGGTATTTGCTTTATTTACAATGTGCATTGAAATTGCTAACATTAGTATTTTTAAATAAATTAATTATAGTATATACAAAAGTAATAAAAATAAGTAAATACAAAAGACGTTTTATTTTATTGCAGTTACATATCCTGAACCCTTCACACTTGTGTTGCACTTCATAACACAAATAATCGCTTTGGCTACATATAAAACCTAAGTTAAAATTACTTTTAGCCACTGAGTTGTGTAAACACTTCTTGATAAAGTACTCTATTATCTCAAAATACTTATTTGAATATGATGTGAAAGTCTTTAACATGACATTTAAATCTATCTGCATAGTCACCTGGATGTAAAACGGAATAAGCAAAGCCTATTAACATACAAAATATGGTTTCTCCATTGATAACATTCAGCAGTCAAAACAACAGTATTTCCCTACAGTATAAGATGTTCACAATAGTATATCAGCTTTCAAATTGAACAGCAAACTTCTTTTCAGCACACATCAACAGAAGTGTTCATGCAGGCAAATTTAGCCCAAACAACTTAAAATTTGACATTATAATGTGCTTGGTTAAAAAGCTGGGAAGCAGATTGGATGCTAATAGTAATTTGTAATTACAAGCAACTGACAACCACCAAACTCAGTAGACATTCTGTTTCAGCAGACATAAAACTGCTGAGCTACATGTACAACATATGCAAGAACTCCAGGGTTAAAAATAACAGCAAGTTGAAGGAAATTTTAATCAAATAGTAGATCTAATTCAATAGTGTGCCTAGTAACTCACATTGTCTGTTCAAAAGTGCTTGCATCTTCCGCTTAAGCCGCTCCTGTGGTGTAAATTTCTTCTGCTGGGAGCTTGCAGAAGGTGTCTGGTTTCCACTCGACGCTCCAGTGGCTGATGCAGGGCCAGATGGGCCCGATCCCTGCAACCACGGCGCTTTTGAGTGCACTTCCGCCCTCGGCCCTTTCTCCAACACCCCTCCCATCCCCATGATACCCTTCCAAGCCCAAGGACATTGTCTTTTCAGTGCTCTGCCACACACATCTTAAACTGGCGCTGGGTAGTGACAGATAAACCTTATGTACAACAGTGGACAAACCTGTTTTTCTTGCAATACATGTAGTTCCAACTTTCTCAGTGTATGCTGGATTGCTCGTGTTACTCCATCATAATAAGAAGAAATAGAAAGATTGCAACACTATTAGCACTTCATGGATTACTCATTAAGTACAAGTTTCTGGCCTTTCATTCTGAAGATGATTTTGACACATTCATCACATGTCACTTGGTTTAGTTCTGAAGCCAGTTCTTCAGTGTCTCTAGAGGATGAAACTGTTTTCCAATATCACATCATTGGCACCAAGCCAAACAGAGTAAAGTGCTGGAAACTTGGAATTTTCAACTGGCAGAGATGCACATTATGTGCAACCCTGTACCTGAGGGTTCTGATTTTTTAGACATAATTGAAGGTGTTTTTTCAGGTTTTCCTGGACGTGGCCCTTCATACTTTCCTGGTTTTAGCATGGGGCTGGCAATATGTTTGAACTGATATTTTCCATTTTGAATAATATAAACTATTTTCATATCTTTTTATAGCGTGCTTCTTGATTAATACAGAGAGAGCCTGCATGAACATTTTTAATGATGAAATATTGTGTTTATTGGATTCTATTTAACATGTTTTGAAGTTGTTATTACTTTTTCAATTAAATTAAAATTACAACTGAAAATACAATTTTTATCGCAAATATCAATGTAATAGAAACCAATGTAAATTTGAAAATTCTACACTGTATCTGTAACTTTATATCTAAAATATGGAGGTATTAAACAGCCCACTAATTCAGTGAAAGTGAACTGCACGTGTTGGAGCACTTCTATAACACTCACTTTAACTGAATAACTATACAACAACTCTCCATTGAAGTGGAAGGAAGCAGAAAAGGAACACTCGAATGGAACGTAAAATTGAAACACTAGAAGACAATAGCAGGAATGAAAATATGTGCACAAGACCCTTTTAAAACATTAACCCAAGATTGAGAGCATAATAATGGCACATTTCAATTTCCACAAAAATTACTTAACTTACATAGTTATCCTGAAATTGACAATTTTTAACATTATGCATGACTTATTCTATGCTGCTTACATCTAACATGCGAATTTCAAATATGTAAAGACAGCATGTATTTCACATTTTCCTATGTTATGAAGTAGGGCAAACAACATTCAATGGGAAATAAATGTCAAGTTCAATTGGGGTATAAAAGTCTTAAACCTAGTCAGGCAGGTGAATTAGAAGGATTTAGTTGGTCAGAGAAGCATGAAGCAACATCAACAGTATCATTGAATGCAAATGCAAGGCATGGTAGTGATGGGACTCAAGCTTTTGGGGGCAGTAGAATAGAAATGGGTACACTGCAAGGGCTTAGGTACAGACAGACTTATATCCAAACAAGTAGTGATTCTTACTGACTTTGGTTCCGGCACCAGTATTACCAAACCCTGAACTGAGCGTCCTGAAACACACAAAATCATTTCAATATTAGAATTAAATTGAAAATTCTTTCTTGGATGGATTCTACGATATGAAAATATTACATTATATTTTTTAAAACAAAGGTAAAGAATAATATAATTAGTAGTTTAGTCATAACTGAATATTTCCATGTAATATAAATATTACAACATTGTAAGTCTGAAATTACAACCATTATTAGACTGGGAAATGCAAATGTAATAACATTTATTAAATTAATGTAAATACATGGAAAATGTAATCCACTTCTTTGGAGGCAAACAACTGGGAATAATTTTAATGCCTTATTGAAAAGAACACTTCATGTGGCATGCAAATGAATAAGATAGATTCACAAAATTATAATACAAATCCTTATGCAAGGCCTGAAATTCAATGTTTCTATATCTAAAAATTTAATTGCAAAAAAGTACTTACCCATATAGAACAAATTAATTTTATTGACAAGTTCTACAGACTATAAATAATGTGCAAAATTTAGTTTTATGCTTAATTAATAAAAGTTAATCTCTCCAATTAAAATGTTTTCTCATCACCATACTAAAGCTAGTAACTCCAAACAAAGTTTTATCTTTGGTATTTCAAGACAGTAAAATGGGTATTAAAAGGGGTTGATACAATTACCAGATACAGTAAAACTCAGTTTTTATGTTTCCGCATTTTACATTTTACTGCCTTTTACATAAATTTTCATTGGTCCCGACATAAAGCCTATATCTACAATGCATTCTTTTCTTTCAATGTACAACTTCATACAAGGAGTGCACAACTTGATATAAAGAGTATTTCCAGTCTCTTTTTCAAATTTATTTCATTTTATTCTTCTATTTTCTTGTATAAGAATGTATTAGACCTAGTGCAGATAAAGTAATGTAATGTTGTGTCAAAAACCGGCGATTTTTCGACAGAAAAACTTATACTGATACAGGAAAAAGTACATAAATCCTGTTCCAATATGTAGTAAATTACTACATATGTATGTAATGAATTTGCAAAAGCCTTGAGTACTTTCAGATCAATCAGGGAATATCAATTTCGGAGAAAAGCGGCAGGCAGTTGAGGAGCTTACGTTGACTAACAGAAGTTTTGCCGCAAATTCATTTTGTCGTTTCAAGGATCCAGAAAACAGGGATATAGGCTACACCACGTGTTAGAGGCAGTAACTTACTATATATAGGAATATGATTTATCCACTTTTTCATTACCAGGGCTCGTAAATAACAGATTTTCTAACAAAATGCTCTGATTCCGGTGCATGCTTTTACATTTTCTTCTTACAAAGGGTAAGAAAGTAAAAACAGAGCTACCACTGCAGTAAATAATGAAAGTATTCACCCAGCCCTTCATTTTCAAATTTCTGTATTTTACACATTTTTCTGTATTTTTTTTTCAGCCCCATGAAGTGTGAAAAAGGGGTTTTATCGGAATGCACAAGACTTACCACCCTATGCCTCGTGGGGATCTCTGGCTTCCTTTAGTGTAAGACCAATTAGCTACGATCTTTCAATTCCCAAGTGAATTTGAAAAAATAATTGACAATATTCAAGGGTGCAAGGATAGGGAGCTAAATCACCAGGTACAGCTACAGGTGAGGCTCGCCAACTTGATATGCTAAAAATTTGATGCACTTATGGTAAGGCTAGTGTGATTTAAATCTTTGATCTAAATCAAATTATTTTTTGAAAATCAATATTCATTATTTGTAATATTTGAAAATATATTTGAATTTTAAACATTTGTAAAATAAAAATTATTCAAATGAAAAGACTCAAAGCAATTACAAAGTTGATGTAAATAATATATTATATAAATCTATGTATAAACTTTTTTACACAATTGAACTATTTTGAGAAAATAAAATACAATATACAGTGAAATCTGTTTAAGCCAGAATCAAAATCCACAAAAAAAATTCTGGTTTGGGGAAGTTTCCGTTTTATGCAGGGTTGTCCATTTAATGGCACTTATGATATTGATAGTAAATTAATATAGTAAATTATGATATTGATAGTAAAACTAGTAAATTAATGTAAGAGAGAGGGGAAAAAAGAAAACAACAACTTATAATTTATTTATGGACGAGATCCCCAATAAATCAATATTAAACATTCTTCATTGACAGTTTCCGACTTATTCTTCCTTCTATAACGTTAACCTTTTCATCTAATGTTAAGAGTTTTATGATTTTGTGCATTGTTCAACTGATTGTGAAACACATAAAAATACACACCACCTCACTGCCTAAAGGCTGAAATCGGACTGCTTGCTGACAGTCAATGCACAATGCATTACAGCCCAGAGTACTATGATTTTCTGATACCCTAACATGACCTTGGCCTTGATCGTCTCTGGCTGAGGGGTTACGATATTGAACATGGGGCAGGGAGGGGCGCGAATAGAAGCCAAGCCTGTACACCTTCCCACACTCACAGAGGAGGAGGGAGGGAATTTCCCCATGGCATACGCCTTAGAGAGACAACTGACCCCAAGTTCGAATTCTATGCTGTGTTGAAACCCCTCTCCTCACAGTGCAGTTGCCACAACTAAATTGCATGGGATGGACAATTTAAAACAGACTTGCAGATGCATTCATTACATGAAGAACTCACAACTCTGCTAATTGCATTAAATTCACCAGAATTCCATTTTATAAAGATCCCCCCTCCCCGAAAGACATGAAAAAATGTGTTTCCACATTGGACAGATTCCGTTTGTGCTGAGTAAAATACCATATAACTTCCCAGGCCAGAGAAATTTTCCTGTTAGGCAGATTTCTGGCTTCTACATGTTCCAGTTTAGACAGATTTTATTTACTGTAATGTAAATAAAATGAAAGGAAGAACAATGAATAATTTGTAGTAGTTATATACTAATAAACTTAGATGATCGATTAGTTTTGTCTGTAGGTAAAAACTAATTTAGCTGCAATACCGCCTTAACTCACACAAACTAGTTTTGAGAAAAACATGTTTAAAGCATTAATGGGGTCCTAATTCTAGATTTGCATTAAAATGTTTTCTAAAGCCACTTAAAGTACATCTAAAGATGAAGAGTGTTAATAAAAATGGAATTTTATTAATACTCATTTAAAGAACAAAATTAATATTGTTAAAACAAATGAAAAGAGTAGTTAGTCTTACTACTTTTATTAATATTAACCTTTTTTTTTAATTGTATATTGATAAAATTCCATTTCAAGCGGGACGTTTTTCCCACTGACCTGGGTTCAGAGAAAACCACCACTGTTAATGGGTTCAGAGAAAATGTGCAAGTAACCACCATTATACCCTGAATTTTTTGATAACAGGACAACTATCAAGTAGAATTTAATACTTCAAAAACTGGAATTTAATATTTTAAAAACTGGCAAACACTGTTATAAGTTGTTTGATGAATTTCATTATTTTATACGATAAGTGCTTTTTGATTAGGATGGTATTGCATAAAAAACACGGTAAGATTTCCTTGAAAGAAGCATGCCTTTTTTTTAGTAGATGCTAATAGATGGTGCCACAAGCTTAATTGGTAATGTGGACGCAAGAGTTTTTCAAGAGCATGAAACTATAAGTAAACCAATTAAAAAATGTTGTGGGTTACGGGGTATTGGACTGGACCCCTCAAATATATAGTATCTTTATTTTTCATTAGTGTCATCATCATGAACTGATTAGAAATTAGGGTGTATAGCCTATTTCTATTGGTTAATTACAGTATTTTGGGTAAATTCTTAGTCTTCCAAGTGTTTCTGCTGTTGCCACCTCTTTAGTGGTCTCCCTCTATCTCTGATTTGTACTTCCAGATTAATTTTGGATATCAGTTGTTCATTCTGTGTAAATGATTTTTCCATCTCCTTTGAGACTGATCTATCTCTTCTACTAAACATTTGTATTTACTTCTTAGCCTGTCACTTCTTGTGATTCCCATAAAATTTTATTAATGAAATTTAATTAAATTAGAAATCTTGTGTGTGCCGCCTCTATTTTTGTTTGATTCTCTCTTTCATTACTCGTGTTTCAGAACCATACATGTTTCTAGATTTAGCAGCTATATTGTGGAGTTTCAGTTTTGTTTCAGGGTCCATGTCTCTGCCTGAGTGTCTTTAAATAATCCACATATATTGTAGTTATTAAGTTTATTTTCTGTCTTCTTGAGTTTGATTGTATACACTTGTGATATTTCCAAGGTATGAAAATGTATTTACTTGTTCTAATTTTCCATTTATCAGTATTCTGGCTCTCCTTTGTTCCTTGCCTTGTATTGCCATAACTTTTGTCAATTCAAACACTGCTCTTTGTAAATCTTTATTTAAAAAAATAAAATTACAACCATTAATGATAATTTTAATATTTTTTTTTCAGGTTTTGAAGTAATTACAGATAAACAAAGCACTTAACGATTTTATTACAGGAACCAGTGTTGCACATTGTGACTACACAGAATCCTTGTTGATATTATGGCAAAAATCGGAAGTGGGAATCAATAATTTGTAGTAAAGCCATGAAAGAACCACAGCTTTACGAGTTTGAACATTAACATGTGCCAAATGCTCCTACTTGTGTTCCATGTACCTTCTCCATAGCATTGACAGCAGTTAGCTTTCATTTCCCGCAATAGGGTGTAGTGATGCAACATCAACAACCAAATATTGATGTTCAAAATTAAAACATAGATGTAAACAATACTTCAACTAAAATCAACTGTTTAGTAACCTCTAACATTAAATTCATTTGTAATAAAATTTCATTTGATAGCAGCAGGTTAATTAATTCATAATTATCATTCAACTGAAAACAAAGCAAAAAAATAATAAAAAGAAAGGAGAAAACAGACTGATAGCGTGAGCATCCACGGTCATCTTGGAGGGTCTGTCTTCAGTTCGCTGAATATGGAACAAGAAGAAAGCGCAAGCCCTATGTGAACACCACATGTGTTGACAGCCTCTCCAATGTTATATATGAAAAAAGACTAAGGATATATCAGGGTCTCAGATTGAGCTAATCAAGTTACACAGGATATTCAACTTTTAAAGATTTTGATGCAAAGACAATAATCACATACTTGAATTCTGTACGTCACTGAATGTTTGACACAAGTGAAAAAAGAGTAAAAAGGGCGTCAAGCAGAATTATTACATCTCCATTGAATTTCTATTTTAAACAAACTGATGGTAACACCAAAATAGAAACTTAAAATGACCTGCAGCTGCAGGTCATAAATTATATTTTTTCCACAGTTGGCATATGACTCACCTGTTCTGGGAAGGTCGCACATCACCAGCTTGTGAGCTGTCCTTCTCACCCCCATCTGAGTCACTCAGGGACAAAGAGGAAGACCGGCCCCGACGTCCATAATACCTAAGGTTAATAAAAGGTTACATTTTGTAATAAAAATCTAATAGACATAATAAAAAATATTAAAACATTCAATACAGGATTTGAAAGAAGAAGGTGATGATAAAAGAAAAATACAGAATATTTGCTCATTCATAAAAGCGATGACTATGTGCACTAGGATCCATTGCATTAAAGGCAATGTCGGATGGCTGCATTATAAAATATGTTAACACTAAAATATAAATAAGAAAATGTTTGCATATCATTGCAAACTGCAATGATTACATGTAGCCCAGAGAATACAAATTACGTGTTAGCTTTTCCATTTATAATAAGAATTGCTTATTATTTAGTACAAAAAAATAAAGATTATCAATTAATCCTCATGACATCATTCTTTCATAAAAATATAGCATTTATACTCATAAAAACTCCAACTTCGACGTTAACCTGTATTTGTCCACTGTATGTCATACACTACACACTGAAAAATTGCACTGGAATTTTGAATACATTACTAAATTTTGAAAGATACCACATTTAATTCAGATTTGTGATCCACAACATCAGTATTAACCAATGAAAATAATTGAAAGGTATTATGGTCTTTAGCAGGTTAACACCACAAAGGAGATAACTACCAAGCACACTTCTCTCTCAAAACCTCTTCTTAAAGGTCTTCTACATTCATTGGTTTCTCAATTTGAAACCCGCAAAACTAACCTCTTTACAGGAGGTGGTGGCAGTCGGCTGGAAGGAGGACTGGACCTCATAGGAACAGCAAGAGAAGCAGCTGCATTTGGCTGTTGCACCACTGGAACAACAGCGCGAGGTGGGCCAGATGCAACTGGTGTCACTGCAGTTGAAGCAGCAGCAGTAGCAGCAGCAGTGGCAGGAAGTTCACGACGATATGAACTACTCGACGTAGACGATGACGGTGTTCGCCGGCTTGTAGGAGAGCTGCTTGAACTCGAAGAGCTACTCGACGAGGAAGAGGATGAGCCGCGGCGGTGACGATGACGGTGCCTATTTCGGCGAGAGCGTGATCGCGATCGAGACCTTGACCGTGAACGAGACCTAGACCTGAAGAATAAAAGTAATTGAATTGTTTATTTTTTTGTGTGATATTCATCCATGGTAATAGCATAATCTTATAACCCTGAACTTCTAACCACAAGTTTTTCATTCATACTTTATTTAAATTAATTAACTAACACATTGGGGACGCACTTGAGTCGTTCCACTTCACTTTTTTACTGTTCATGGTCGAACTGTCAAAGTTTTCACTTTGGTGACGATAAATCCTCAGTTACAATTCTGAATGTTATTCAGAAAGGTGGAATGAGAGATGGAGGATGAATGGATGATTAGGGGAAAAGACGAACACCGATACAACCATGCCGAGGCGGGACTCGAACCAGCGATTCGCTTCGGTACGAGATGCTACGGGACTACTGCGCTTAGCATCTGCGGCCACCGGATCGCAACAATTTAAAATTACAGTGAAAGTACTTTTTTTTATCTACCACATGCACTAATCTTCTTTAAGGCTTAAAATAAACATACCGTCTTCGGCTGTAACCACTATGGTAATGCCTGTTTGTGTTAGTTGGCGAGCTGGATTCATCCCTGTCACGATTCCATCGACGTGAATTCCTGCCAGGTGGAGACTTCCCCCTGTCAGGCAGTAACAGAAAAGAAAAAACATTGTCAGTTGCATTAGAAAAAAATCGAAAGGGTCCAAGATTAGATTCTTGAGAACTATGGCTCCCGCCAAGGCTCAAATAGCAAACAATATCATTAGTCACTAAGATTTGAAATTAAAAGGTTAAAAAAGGGAATAAGGTGAGACCTCTAGTACATGGTCACTGATGAAACCAAGTAATTATTGGTAATTTATTATTGGTTTTTGTCTCTTCTCTATCAGAAACAAAAAACACTGAGACTTCAAGTCATTTCATCAAAATCATAATTAGTAATTTGTTTTTGGTTTTTCATTGATACATCAGGGTATTTCTTCAGAGCTTCAACACACAAAACATATTACACAAATAAATTTATAGATCAAATACATGACTTTATGTTAAAAAAATAAAATAAAAACCATCTCAGGGTAGGTTTACCTGCAGTTCAACCTGAAGTCTACGTGGCCACATTAAGTGACGGTTAAGACATGATGTACACAATCTTGTACATAATTCTAAAGTCTAAAAATTTTGAGTTAATATTTTGCAGTGTGAAAAAAGTACCCAGAAGGTCGTTATTTATGTAACAAAATTATTTCTTTACGACTGATCAAAAAATTGCAGGCCTTAAATCTCTGACATTGACTGAGTAGATGTGGTCTATGCAGTCTTCTTCGTAAATGATAATTTAAATCACTCATTTTGTTTTCAGCCGCTTCTTGGGTTTTTCAATGTTTTCATTCTAATCCGTGCATTTCGCACTTCACAAATCACACTTAACACTTCTACAAAAACATTTACACTATATGATTAAATCAGCTTTGATAATCACAGTTACACTCCCACTGTCTGATCCTTTTGGTTAATTCTTAGAAATATATTCTAAATGTAACACAAGAATCATGGATGGAGTTGTCTATATTATTTGGAAATTGCAGCAAAAAAACATTTCTTAAATGCCCTCCAAGGGCAGGTTGCATCACATCCGCTTCAGATTGTTAAGCCAGGCTCTAGCAGAAATAAGTGAGCTGAGATCAAAATAGCATTTCACCAGAGTTCATGAGCTTTGCTTAGCATTAAGTTACGCTTTTGTGAATAAGCGCTGGTGCTTAACAACATAAGCCAACTTAAGAAGACCAACGACACATGGCAAATAGGTTATACACAATTGCATTAGGTGCAGACAACTACATTTTTGATGATAGAATTTCTCAACTTAGTCGAACTAGATGGATCCAAGAGAGGCCAATTTAGTTCAAAGTCCCTCGCTTTCGCCTTTCAAAAAGATAAGACATTATTGGCACTGGAACCAAGGATTGAAGGAAAACTAGATATTACATCTGACAGGGATGTGGTGTGGCCTAGTTTTAACTACATAACGGAGAGCTGAAAGTTTACACCCTTATTAAACAGAATTTCTCTCACTATATCTTGTAAGAGTACAAAGATTGCATTTGTAACTCAGGTTAAGATTATTATAATCTTGTATCAGTACAGTATTTCAATGTTAAATAGAGTACAAATTCAAACTCTACTAAATTCTAGTCATAATCCTGATAATTTGATTTTCAGTAGATACTGACATCCAAAATTGCATTGTATATAATATGTGATATCTGATTTTAGTATGTCCAAAATTATTACAAAGAAATTAACACTTTGCACAGAACTTGTGAGACTATTATATTCCCTTTGCCAATGTTTCAACTCGTTATCCAACCCTCAGGCTTTAATTGTAATAAGCTATTTTGTTATGTAATTAGATTCTCTGTCTATAAATAATAAATCTATGACATTCATTTCAACCAGACAGTGTTATTCAAAAACAAAATTAATAACGACTGTAAAATAATTTGATAAAATAAAAAATGAAACAAAAATAACACAATTATAAAATATTAATTACACAAAATAAAGTTGAAGACCGTAAGGACGGAACCAATTGATGGTGGTGAACAAAATATTATAAACGTCAGAAACATGGAGACAAACATGTCAAAGAACGTGCACAATGCTGATGTGTTTATTTTCTGGCGTTGCCAACATACCTGAGGATGCATAAAACCCGCTTAGCAGATCTGCACTTTGAGGGGACTGGTGAAATGTGTTTGCTGTAATCTCGCTTAAATTTTGAGCCAGCTTACTTAAGCAGCGCTTAACGAAACATGGGTGACACCGACCCAAACTCGTGGATCAGTGATTCATAAATCTGTCAAATTTTGACATTCCCTCCCAGGATTGATTCACTTCCAAAAATTTTAAATTCTCTGACTTTTCCATGCACGTTTTTCAATTTTCCTGAGTAAGTGGAGTAAGAAACAAAATGTATAGGAGATATGACACGGCTACCTACGATTTACCTGTGTTGCACTGAATTTGGGAAACAAAGAGGCATTGCACTGGCTGAAGCAATGGGACCAGATGTTCCTGTTGAAATGGGTGCAAAGCCACTATGGTGCCGTGTCAGGCACGAATTAATCAGTTTCATACACTTAGCATTACAAATTGAAGTTAAAATATTTTTTTGACAGGTTTATTAAAATTCACTGACTTTTCCAGGGCAAAAACAATTCCAGGACTTTTCAGAAAATCCCATGCTTATAACAGCCCAGTTTGCAATGTGACGGGTGAATTTCTACTGTTTTTCACTATTGCCAAGGGCTATAGAAAAGCATTCAATATTTTTACGACACATTTTCATCAATTCTCCGACTTTTGCAGTTCGAACTTTTTCAAAGTTTCAAGTTTTCGAGATACAAATGTACTCCATTTTCCGGAAATTGACATGGATAACCACAAACACTTGTTTTAAACTATGTATGTCCTACCTTGCAGCTCGTGGTGGAGCAGTGTTGGCTGGGATGGCTGGAGAAGCTGCCGGCTGGCCTCTACCAACACCAGCAATGGTGCTAGCAGTAGTTGGCTGTTCATCCTCATCTCCTCCAAAGCTGGTGATGTATGTGATCTGCCCAGCATTTGCAGGCGATTTTGAGCGACTTCGACTGTGAGATCGACTTGGAGACTTGCGATATGCATCGTAAGTTGGACTGGTTCGAGCAGCATAGCTAGAAAAAATAAATCAGCACATGGAAAACCATTACCAAACAACTTATTTCATGAACAGAAATGCTAACTAGAAAACTTTAACAGTTGCTCCTACGACTAATGATGTTGTCAATAATTTGTCAAATTAGCGATTCTAAATCGTTCATCAACCATCAGCAGCCAAATTTAAATCTCTCAAAGACAGTTAAAAACAAGAGTTCAAGTTTGTTTTTTTAAATTTGCAGCTCATGAAGGTAAGGAGCAAATTGTTTTTTGTAAACATAATTATTTGAAATTGCAAACAATGAAAATACCAACAATGTACTCTGCTAATAAAAGTCAAGATGTTAACTTTATTCACTAACTACCAAGTGGTAGAATAGCAAGCAACAATTCCCAATTTACTACCCTTGAAAATAAATTTATTTGACCTGAAAATTTCAATCCAAAGCTTATAAGCTTCCTCCAAATATGAAAGAACATACTAGAATATAGAAGAATTCCAGAATAGAATACTAGAATTTACGTAAATACCAATTTTGAACACAACACTATAAACTGTCTATTGTGCAAATCAATGAAAAATAATTTTAAACTAAAGGTGCTTAACACGAAAATTATGTGAAGAGTACACAAATTTTCTAAAATTGTACATGATCTTATTTCAAAATCTCTTTAAGGAATGGACTTCATTCATGGAATATTTTAGCTGTAGAAAGACTCCAAAACACTTTTGCCATCAATCGATTTTCTGGTACCAAGGACTCACAAAACACGGATTCTGGCTACAGCACATGACAGAAGATTTTTTTTTCTAAAATTCATAGAGCATCTGGATTTATCCACTTTTCCATTGCCAGGGCCCTGCAATAAGAGTTTTTCTGCCACAAATTCGCCATTTTTTCACTAAGCACTACATTACTTTCTCTCAACCCTACAGCGAGAATGTAACTTTAAAGACAAATAAGACCCATAAAAATTTTGATACACAGTTGGACCTGGCATAATGTCGTGATGAACACAAACTCAGAAAGTGACAAACAATAACACAACTTTTTTTTTTACCTGGGAGGGCTGATCTTGCGACCCTGAAGACGTTTCTCCCTAAAAGCTCTCCTTTCTCTGCGTGATTTACGACCCTGTCAAGGCAAATAAAACATGACAATAATTACCAAAAACTCATACAAACAATCTGAAATTAATATATTAATAAATACTGCAATAACTTAAGTATATTCTTACAAAATCAAGGGAGGTTAGGTTGCGATCTAGATGCAATGTAGTTAGTTTGTTGAATCGCACATCTCCTAAATTGTCATTTAAAGATGTTGTTACTGATTTTGGATACGAGGGCAATGAAGGAAATAATGTCAAAACTACATTATTTTCACACACCATCCTCACCAGTACTACTTCCTGTAACAACATATGATCTTCTTTCAGCGGAAGATGAGTGATTAAGATTGTGATGTTACAATGTACAATGTTGTAAAAAAAAGGAAAAAGGGAAATAATCAATGAATTAGATGAATCAGAGGATGATAAGGATGGAGATAATCAACTTTGCAAATTAAAGCACTGAATAAGATACAACAGCTTTGAAAAACCTAAAACATTTGTGTCTCCACTTTACTCACTACTCAAGCTATCAAGAATGTTATGTCCATAACTGTCAATATTTGGCATTATCATTGGAAAATAAAATACTGGTCACTGAAGATCATCTTCTCACTACTCATCCTTTCGTAACTTGTCACAAAAAGAAATAGTGGAACAATTGCATAGATCTGTCGCCCTCACACAAGTAACTGCTTGTTGGTTCCTTCAAGAAATCCCCATTCAATTTCACTGTTAAGAAAGAAAATATATAGAGTAGTCATAGACAGTAACCAGAGAAGGGCATCTTGTCATCTGGTAACTCTTCCTGACCCTAACAAGATTTTCCAAAGAAATTTGAATGAATGACATCCTGAAGATAGCTCAAGGTAAGATAAAGTACAATTTAATGTTCTAATTTTAGGTAGTTTATTACTCCTAAAACTGTGCAGAACTCATTTTCTTTGAAAGTAGACAGAGCCAGATACAAAAGGGGAATGACACGTGTCATCATGCTTACCAGGAGGGCAGTAGTGGTGGTCACATAACAGGTCTCATAGAAGGGTAGCAAATTATTGTGGCATCGTTAACACAAGGGGCCCGAACCGTTAGGTCAGTGAAAGCACATTGCAGGGAGATAAAGGCAGAGCCCTGGCGCTTCCTGGTATTGTACTCTGGCAGCTGACTCAGACAGCATGGCAGAGCCAAAAATATCCTTAGGGATTGCTATAGTGTGAGTGTTGGGGAAGGCAGTAATCTTCTAGGAAGCTAGTTAGCAAGCCCTCGCTTGCCGACAGCAGGCGAGCCTAACCTATGAAACTTGTGTGCCGGGGGTGCAGGCCCCAACTATTTAACGTGGTGCACCCACGTTCTCATTCAGTTTGGATCGGAGAGCGGAGGAGTGTGGGCGAGATGTCCGGAGAGTAAGGGCCAGACGATCTCGGGCGCTGTAGGCACGCGGTCCGCCGGACAGCAACCAGTCTTAATTTTGGCATCAGGCCATGTCACAGTGATAGTCACGGGATGGAAGTCAGACAGCGCGCATCACGCATCGTTTTTTCTGAGGTAAAGCAGGGTTACTGGGGAAGAAAAGGTTGCCGGAGTGTTCATTTTAAGCATCTATGTAACTTGTTTTTAATTTATTAATATACTTCTTATATTGTTGTTATTTGAAATTATTGTCTTATTCCACTACGTCACACTACCCAATTAAACATTCTCCAATAGAGTAATGTATGTGATCACAAGAAGAAAAAGAGTATAAGGGAACTGTACTTACCGAGTACATAGCCTTCTCCTCCTCTTGTTCCCTTGCCTGCCTCAAAGACTCCCGCTCCTCTAAATCACGTGTTAAGAAAGTGTAGAAATCATTGCCACTCATACCATAGGCTGCGCCAAAGGTGTTCATCTCATGAGCCTGTTGCGGACCCACCTGGGTCACATCAACACACAAATCTGGAAACACACAAACATTTTCAACATTAGTTCTAAAATTAGACGAATTCTACTACAAGAAATACATGTGATATACTCAATAAATGCTTGGTAACAAAAATCACTTATCTTTGCCAGCTAAGATGGAAAAATGTAATATTCTCAGGTTCAACTTATTTGATACGGTTTATGTACCATCTTTTTAAGATAATATGTATGTGTGTATGTTACAGTGTGTCTTGGATGACCCCCAACAAATTTTTGAACGTTTCAATGACCCCAAAAAATATTAGCACATTCCCCCTAAAAATATTAAATTTGATCAGACTAAATCAGATACAAAATTTCGTGCCAATTGGTTATCTTTAACCCCCACTGACTTGAGCTCAAAGTTTAGAGATCGCTTGCCTTAAGTATTGTCCTGAACAAATCACTGATAAAACAATGGTTGACTTTTAAATATTCATGCTATTAATTTCTGATGTCAAATTTATTAGCCATTTCAGTTTTTGCTCATTTATAATTCCGTTCAACAATCCTTAAAAATAATAAAACAATAATAATGACATTATTTATGTAGAGAGAGACTTGGGCCATCAGGCTGCTCTTCTGCCTATCCACGTAATACACAAATTTATAGATCCAAATAGAAATGGTGGAGTGTTATTCAATGATACATTTTGTAAATAAAATACAACTAAGATGTCTTGCCCCTGGACTCTCAAAAGGGAAGACACAACGTCCTAACATTTGCCTTAAGTGGCTGGGGGAAAAAGAGGGAAAATAAAGGAAGTGTGCATGCTCTTCCACATTGAGCAAGAAAATAAAATTGATAATAATATAAAAAACTTTACTATCCAAGGGGGAAAAAAAAAGTGCCTGAAAATAAATTATGAAAAATAATAATTTAGCGATACACATCAAATGTAAACAAAAATCTCAATACATTAAACAATCGTAAAATAAATAAAAAAGAAATCAGAAACAACATATTCGGGATTGCTAAGAAGGTGGAAGATCTTACGACTGATGGAAAGAAATATCAGAATGGTCTGAAAGATATTTCGAGTAAAATTAAGTCTATTCAAGAGAATAATATCAAGCTATCGGCAAGATGTGATGCAATAGAGTCCAAACAACATGACATCAATGCAGAAATGGAAACCATGATAAATTCAAAAAAATGAAAAATTGAGGAAAGAGCTCAAAACTAAGCACACTACTGAGATCACGGCAGCAGCTACAGAAGAGATGGAGGAAAGGAACCGTAATCTGAAAAATATCATTATATATGGAATTTGAGAAAGTAAATCGGATACCCCTGCTGAAAGGAAGAGAGAAGTCATCCAGGAATTCAAAAAGATACTTCGAAACCTTAACTCCACGAAAGAGCTACCTGCAGAAACTGAAACCAGCATTTTGAAAGTCACATGTCTGGAAATGTTAGTGACAGATAAATCTGGACCATTGAAGATCATATTGAAAATGGTGTAACTCACACATGAGCTACTGCTAAGAAACCATGATTTACCTCAGAACACCTTATTTAATAAGGATCAAACTCCTTTGCAACGTGAGGTGATCAAGGAGTTGAGAGTAGAGCTGGCAAGAAGACAGAGGGATGAAAGCAAAAATCAACTACAGGAAAGGTACTTTTATCAAAATTTGATTTGTTTCTACTCGACATCCAAGAATACATGCCGACTATTATAGCACTGACAGAATCACGATTGAAACCGGACCTTTTGGATGAAAAGATTCATATAGAGGGCTATAGCATGTTTAGTAGAGGTAGAACTGGAAGAGACAGGGGAGGAATTCTGATAAGCATAGCAATGATAATCCGTTTAAAGTTATCCCTCACTCAGATATGCAAAGAGATTCTTTAGAATCACTATGGCTGCAAATTAGGCTACATCATTTGAATTTCTATGCTTGTATGTTATATCAATTTCCTTTGTCATCACATAGAATTTGAGACGTAGATACTGCCCTTTTTGATATACTTTGTCAGGCAAACAATTATTATTTTTGGAGACTTCAATATTTAGTCGCTTCATTGGTTTGAGCCCAGCTCAGATAAAATCCTGTTTGTAGAAAAAGTGTTTCTTAAGGTATACGAAGATTCTAGTTCCTTTTAGCTGGTAACTAGGGGAACTATGTTTTGGGATGGACAGAGATCAGCAACACTTGATCTACTTTTCATAAACAATGAATCAGCTTTATCGACTCCAGTCACACAAAGTCCTATCGGTAATCGTGATCATGCTGTTCTGTGCATTTGTATGCAAATCAAATTTCATGATGCAGATTCCTCTAGCCACAACCACAAGGTATACTGGCGTGCAAATTTCGAGGATGTAAAGAGGGGCCCTTTAACAGCTCCTCTTACTTTAGAACACGTCAAGGAACAGGAAAGTAATTGGATGACATTTAGTTCAGGAATTATCAATGTCTTAGATGCCCACTCTCCTATTTTAAAAAGAAGTTCCAAAGAAAATAAACCATCAATTACGAAAAGGATACGACTTAAAAAAAAAAACAACAACAACAACAACAACGGAAATTTAAATCCACCAATTGTCGGTAACAAAATAGGAAATTAAAGAGAGTTACGCAACACAATATCAAAAGAGATGCATGCTCGCAAGAGAAATTATGAACAAATATTGTCAAGGCCAAGGGCAAGCATTAAGGGCACACATCCGCAAACATATCTTTTAAGGTTTCTATCCCACATGCTCTCCGAAAAGAGGATGGAAAATTGCTTTAGATCCCAGTGATGTGGCTGAGGTCCTGGCAGACAGTTTTCAAAACTTCTACGCATTGGAATAAAACGATTCTGTCCCGACCTTCTGAGGAAACACTGGAAGACATTGACTTACATGTAGCAGGTGTGTTCAACATCCTCATATCACTAGATCCTAACTCTTCTGCTGGTCCAGATGGTAATCAACCCCTTGTACTGAAAGGATGTGCAAAAGAACTTGCTCCAGTTCTATGTAAAATTCTCTGAGACTCCCTTGACTCCAGAGTATTGTCGACAGACTGGAAAACAGCTAATAATTACACCAATTTTCAAGAAGGGTTGTAAGATAGATTCCGCTAACTACAAACCAGCAGAAAGGGAAGTGCTCATTAACTGAAAACTGATAGTATACTCAAGATGAATCGATGTAAATGTAAAATAAGTATTGTTGCATACTACAGTGTTGTGTTATCAATATCAACAACGAATTTCATGATATTTGCTTGCTGTCAAACAGAAGTAACATTTAGATATGTTCACTACATTGATAATAAAGGTCGTAATTGTGAAAAATGGCATGTGATAGTGAAAAACAGTTTGTATTTTCAAAATCGGGATGATGTACTTTATAAAGAAGACCAATTTTGAAGAAAACCACGAAGTCATGCAGACCAGTGTAATTAGTTTTACCTTCCTTAAGTTGTAAAATAACACAGCGAACACTTTTTTACCAAGGGAAATTTGTATGCATTTTTTTTAAATGTCTCTGATTAAAAACATGCTGCAAGACAATTTTTGCCAAGAGAGTAACAAGTGAACTGCAACGCTTCTTGATGAGTTGTCAGAATGTGATGAACTCCACCAACAGACATATGTCTAGCAGACTTGGTGTATGTTCAAACTTGGGCATTGAAGCCCAGCCAACATCAGTGAAAATGATTCCATCATCAAGAAATTTAGGAGGAGGGGGGAGAGTTCCAAAATATTAAAATAGTGGGTATGCATTCAAAATATTAAAGTTGAAAAAGGGATACCCCAGCTGAACATAGTTTATTTTTTTTTATTTTTATTATTATTATTATTATTATTATTATTATTATTTATTATTATTATTATTATTAATTATTATTATTATTTTATTTATTATTTCTATTATTATTATTATTATTTATTTATTTATTATTTTAATATTATTATTATTATACTACTACTACTTTACTACTTCCAATAATGGGGCACTTCGTTTCACGGATTCATTTATTAGTAAAATAAAATTCAACATAGTGGTATGATTGGTAACTAAGAGGAATCAGGGTTCAAACTCCAGCATTGCTGGGGATTTTCATCCAGTCAGGTCCTATTCAGAGCAGTCCTGGGATCCACTTAGCTTCCTTTTCATACGAGTTCTAGCATGGCACTTGCCAGTAAATACTGGGTAAAACCTGCAACCACGATACTTGCCATGCCATCATCTCAATTCTGAAGTCATAGTAAAACTTCCCACAGATACCTTTTCCTCCTATCAGATACCAATTACATAATACCTCCTATTATATATTAATTATAATAGGGGTGTAGAGAACCCTGGAAGTGGGTCGCTGCAAGAAAAGCAAAGCAAAAGGGACAGAAGTAAAGAAAAGGAAAAAGAAAAGCAATAATAATAAGCTTAACCCTGTAATGACACACATTAATCTCTTTTCAGAATAGAATATGACTGGACTCGGAAGAGAATGTGTAGCATGATCAGAAATGGCCAATACACAAATAATAATAAAAATAAAATTCACTCACCAAAATCAATGTCACTATCATCTTCCTCTTCCTCCTCCTCTTTCTCCTCTTCCTTCTCTCCCTGTGCATCATCTCCTCCGGCGACATTGTTACTCGAAGACCCACCACCTCCTCCTCCACCCCCTCCTGCGTCTTCATACGAGTATGGAATGGCCGCGCCAGCAGCCTGCTGTCGAGCTGCCGCTGCCTCTTGGCGCTGCTGGGCGCGTTGGCGACGTTCATCACCAGGTCGCATTGCTCCGAACTGTTCCTCCAGATACAGTTGATGGAGAAATTTCTCCTCGCCAACTACAAAGGACATCACACCACAAGAGATTCAGCAACAATTGCTTTCATAAAATGTAACTGCTAATTGGGAGCTGCAGTGAAAAGTTAGAATAAACATGATCAATAAACCTGCTCAGCCTTACTACCATACATTTAACTGATGCATTTTATACAGTTCAACAAATTATTTAATACTATTCATTTATTAAAAACAGAAAACTTATAACATTAAATTTATAACACAAATTTAATACATACAAACAGGTATTTATATGTATTTACATCACTTAACAATGCTTCTATTAAATCAATAATTTCAATAAGAATTTGCACAACTGCCTGTGCACCACTTTCGCACAAAAAACATTAATGAACTTTATCATTACACATAGTAGACTCTGGAGTGAAACCTGAAGTACCAGAACCACCTGGACCATGTATTTGCTCAATGATACTTTGTAATTAAGCATGTGCAAATTTTGCAACCCAGAAACGTTTGTACTGAATCCTTTACTGTGTGATAAGAGTAAGGATGATGCATCAGAAAAAAGAACTAGATGTTTGGAAGGTTCTATATCTAATCAAAATTTGAAAATTCTTACATTCAGCACCTTCTAGTTCAATACATGACAGCATATCAAGACTTCCTCATTTATCCTTTGTTCAGGCCATATAGAGATATTTTCAACAACTTCTAAAACAGTTCACTTTACCAAAGATTGCATTGCTCGGTGAAAATAATTCTTCTATCAGTCAAATAAGAAAAGGGGGATGGTGTTCTCGAGTGATTTATAATGATTCAGAATAGTCACTGAAAAGAATACTGCAAGAATTGACACAAATCATGTCGAAAAGCCAATGACATTATGTGGGCATGTGAATTAGTCATCAAACAGGTGTAAATGGACAGGCCATAAATACAAAATCTCAAGGAGCCTATGCTTATTACTTTCAACAAGCTTTAAGTTAAACTCACAAGAGACTAACTTATCTTCAAATAGTTATGCCTGTAAATAATATTTCCTTACAAAAGGAAGTTTTGAAGTGAACTTTTCTTGCATTATAGCCATATAAATACATTGATTTCATGCAAACATTCTCCTGTTGCCAAAAAGAATAGGGAGTATACTTGCTGACTGCACATCCCAATTTGTTTTGGTATCAATGAGTGAAGAAAAACAAATATAAACACACACACACATACACACAAGAGACAACAGATCATAGAAGATATTAACATTTTAAACTATTCTGTACAATTTCAAGAAGTAATGCATTTTGCATTCAAGTAGGAATTTCCTCTCTCTTTCACAATCTTCTGATGGATGAAGGGTTTGAAGAGAGAGAAAGAGGGGAGAAAGAGGTAGTTCATTATTTCCATCAAACACTTCTGTTAATTCAGCTTAACTTCAACAGAGAAGTAATTAATCCAATTTGATATGAGCACTGGCCCAATTTTCTATTACTGTTTGGGTATATTTTTAATTTATAGCTTTAAAATTTTTGAAAGTATTATTATAAATTACGTTAAAATAAAATTATCCACTAAAACAGTTGACATCACCCGTGTTTCAATTCAGTGTCAACGATACATCAATTTTGATTCCCAGACATCCAAGAAATAGTTGAGAAAGAACACCCTTTGTACCAGGCTAACAAAACCTAACTCTTGCTTATGGCGAACCTATGGAAGCTCTTTGAAGTTTCTGTTTATTGAGAAAACTGGTACATCATACATTGTTCCCCTACAGAGCCAAAAAGCTGGAGCCCTTAGTTCAAATTTCTTAACCACATTCCTTGGTCATAGAAGTTTAGCAACTCGAGACACCCAGATGCCTGGTTACTAATGGCATCAAGCCCTTTGCTGGAGGGATAAAAGGCAATGACTCTGTGACGTTATGACAAATTTAACAAATAAATTTTATTATATACTTTAAAATTTTTATTTTAATTTTTTAATCTGAAATTAATGAACTCTCCTTGGTAGAAGACTTGACTGATGTTAAAAATGACAGGTACTTCATTTTCACTAGATCAAAAAGATGTTTTAGACCAAGTTTGGATTATACTTCAATAAGATCTGCCACATCTAAAAAAAACTGGTTCTTGTGATTTCATTGCAGCTTTTAACAACCTCCTGCAATACGATTTTCAATAATGACCAATGTGAAATCTAGTGTAATTTTTAAATGCTTAATATAAAAATGTAAGGGAATCAAGAGAGCTCTGTTATTATGATTAATAAAAATTCTCGTTTTACATCACTTAAAATTATATGTTAATGTAATATGTTTGCCTCCCATAAACTGAAGAATCTACTGGAATTGTGCATTTTTGTTTTATTCTTCTGATGAAGGGTGACTATGAAGTTTATTAAGTGTGTGATTAATGTGTCTGAGGGGCAGGGTTTCAGAAAATATTTTAGAGTTCATTAGGGTGTTGCTATGAACAAAATTTGATAAAACCCTACGTTTATGCCATCGACAGACAAGAGAAATCAACATTAGAGGGGCAAGGAAAAATTAAGTTTGGAGTAGAGTAGCTTTCATTGTACAAGATAGTCATATCTTCTGTGTAGTGTTGTCGATTTTGCAGTTTTATGGAACTTTGAAACCATTTAATATCAGTCAAATATGACAAAACAAAGAAGACATATAATGAAATATCTAGTTACAAAGTTGATGCTTTCCCTAAACAATAAAAGATATCTCTATTTACCATCTAATGGGTTCACGAAGCAAGTTTTGTACTTTAGAGTATTATCAAATGAAATTGGCTGTTAATTATGCGTTGTGGCCTCAAGGATATTCTACGTCATACATGAGAGCCCCAGGCCCAACTATACTCTTAAATGTTGAAATTCAAAGTGTGAATAGTCGACATGACTGTAAAAGTAATTTGGCATAAAAATACAAGGGTAAGACTACTTTCAACTGACTCTGAAAATAGTTTCTACTTAGATCAAAGATAACATTCAACTGGATTCTTTTTTTATAAACATTCATTTTATAACATCAGGTCATAATGAATAGAATAGAAAAGTATGAAGAAGAAACACTCACATGAATCTCAACTTACGTGGTTCAAAGAAATCAAAAATTATTTCATGCACAAAAGGCAAAATGTTACTGTGCATTTTTCTACCAAAATTGAAAATCTTATACTTCTCTTCAATTTCATGAAAATTTTCATGAAAGTAAAAATTATCTAAGTTTTGTACACCACTTGAATCATTTGAATGTAAAATTTAATACACAAGATATTAGAATGAAATAAATTAAAACTGTTCATATGATCACATATTTTGATCCAAAGAAAGAATATTTTATCCAAACGCAGAAATCCTACAAGAAGGATACTGGCTTCGAGATTTTAAAGTTTTTGTAATTTTTTTGTTTTCTTTACAAAATTAGTCCTGTTTTATTTATTTTGTAACCCTTTTTCATAGAAATTTGATCCTTTTTAGCAGTTGGGTAATATTAGAAATGCTTTTTTAAATAAATGGAAATCTTAAAATAAGAATTAAGAAATTAAAATAAGTACTAATGAAAAGGGAGACTAATTGAATGTGTGAAAATGACATTCAAGTGACATTTTATAAATTCTGAGAAAATCACGTTCATTTTAGGCTATAATTCAGATGCAATGTAACTTCATGTTTTTGATAAATAATTGAAATGCTGTGGTTTTAATAATGAAACAAAGCACAAATTTACAGAAATATTGTATTAAATAAAGTTTTCTCAAAATTTATGAAATGTCACTTATACATTCTGGTTTCCACCTATTCAATGGAAGATATTTACACATATTAAAATAAGGGCAGTAGAATTTCCTAATATTCATTTCCTTTCTCAAATAGTTGTAAAAAACATTTTTTCAAGAGAAGGAACGCAAATTTGTAGAAAATTCATGAAAAAAGAACAGAATTAACAAGGAAGCCAACAATTATTTGTACCTGAACAGATGGACCCTAATTCATAATACCTTGTAAATAGCAACAAAGAACAGAAAATTTTACTGTTGCTCATTACTACATTTTTACAGAAAGGGTTTCAGTACTGAGCAATGCTTACCTCCCAAGAAGTCATTCTGCACAATGATGCGGTAACGTTCATAGTTGGCTAGTCGGTCTTCCCTTGACAACTGCTCTGGATCTGGAGGGTCAGTGCGCACTGGGTAGTCTGGAATGTGGTCCAGATGTGCCCGTACATCAAACCGATCTATCAGCACATCAGCACGACCCTGCCAAGGCATCCTACGGCCACATACAAACTACATGCAGAACTCCGGCAAACCACCCCACAGAGGATAAAAATCGTGGGTCAAGACGCAGAGCACCAGTTAGATACAGCAATCCGAGGGATATATTCTTGACCTCGACACTTACATATTAGCCGGGCTGTCGCCTGCCAAAGCAACAGCCGGATCCAAATGAATTTTAACCGGGCGGCCGTGCAACTGCAGAAATTGTGTGGGATCGGCTTTCTAAAACATGCGAAACCACGATACAGTTACTCTTCCTTGCAGAAGAATACACCCGAAGAAACACTAATCAGGCTGTACTTACGATTTTCTCATAAAAATCTCGCCGCCTTTCGGCGCGTTTCTTGTAATCCACCATAATTCCGCGGATTTTCCGCTCTTGCTTACGTGCTTCGTGCCACATTTTCTTAGTTTTGTTCACTGTTAATTAATGCAATCTGTCGATAAATAATCAACACATCAAATAACCCCAGACAGAACCCAAAGCTTGACCCGCTCGGGAAAATGGACGCGAAATGAATGCTCGACTCAACTTATTTCCGTTTTCGGTACGAAATCCTTCAACTGAACATTCAGATCGTTGAATTCACATACTTACTTTTTTGCTAATATTCCATAAAGCAATCACATTATCCCCCACACTACCCATGAATCAACAAACAAGCAAACACTTACTTCCAATATTACACCTGCGACACCATCCGCCATCTGCAAGACAATGCAGCCAACACCCATGCAGTCAATACTACATTGGGAGACACGAAACAATTTTTGAAATTGTACATCAATGGCATTGAAGAAATCTATATATTTTACGATAATTGCATAAGTTTTGCATCAAGTGCTTTCATTTATTCAAAAAAGAGGACACCAGCATGTGATTTCTCTCATTTATTCTGTCAGCGGGAAGCGGGAGCGTTGCAAGAACAGTCTACCATCGCATGCTCTCTTCTTCAGCTCAAATTGAGTCAAATGTGAGCATGCGCTACGGTGCGTAGATCTCTCTGCGGTCCATCCGACCCAATCAAACCCGATATTATTATGTACTCGGCCGGCGTAGCGCCGGTGGCATCAGGTGGCACGTCAGTTTTCCTTTTACCGCATTGTGAGGCATCGAGAACTGTATTACGTTATTCGCCGGAAAAAGAGTATAGTAATTCACGGCGATTCACTAATAATGTACTTACTTTTATAATGTACTTACAGGTGCTTTAAGCGATTGAAAGCTTTCTTTCTTTCTTTCTTTCTTTTTTTTTTTTTTACTTTCTCGCTCTTACGAAGGTACTCCGTAAAAAGAGAGTCATGTAATCGTGCGCCAGAAAACGGAAAATTTTTGACAGAAAAAACTTATTGCCGAGCTTTGGTAACGAAAAAGTGGATAAATTCTGGTTATTTATATAGAAAAAATCCTCTAACACGTGATGTAGCCAGAATCCATGTTTTCTGGATCCTTGATACCGAAAAATCGATTGACGACAAAACGTCGATCCGTCCGTCTGCCAGTGAACAACGCTGGCAGTTAAACTGTACATCTGATTTTCTCCAAAATTTATATTCAAAAATGATTATTCAAAATTGATCTGGCTGTCGTCGTTGCCCCTTGAATTTGAAACCAATGTTTTAATTTAGGAGGTACTTTACATGAAGCTCCTTGGACATTTTCAAAATTTTCATAAAAATTGATCCAACTTTTTTATTACATTTTGTTATTGGATAGTCTAAAGGACGATTAAGATAATGGTGTAAATCTCATTTTTGAAAAAAACGGATTTTTCGATGAATTAAACATTTTTTTCGGCGTTTTCCTACAACTAAAACTCAAAGATAAAGATATTTTCCCTTAATGAAATCTGTTCCATTAAGATAGATTTTGAAATAAGGTCATGTACAATTTTTCGAAAATTTTTGTATTTTTCGCATTTTTTGCGTTAAATATAGTCAATTTTTAATTTTGTTAAAACATTTTTTTTAAAAAACGGCTCCAATTTTTTTGATTAAATAAATGTAGGAATAGCGTATAGGACGCTTAAAAGAATTGGTCCTGATCGTTGAAAATTGTGTTTTTCTGAAACTGCAAACGTTCAAATTTCTTTTCGGCGTCTTCCTATAACTACAATATGAAGATACAATGATACATTGTTTGTTCTTAATGAAATGTGTTCATCAACACATCTAATAATGTCACGTTCAATTGTTCATATATAATATATAATTATATAATATATATATATATATAGTATATATATATATATATATATATATATATATTATATATAATGAAATTTTGTATTTTTTTAAACCATATTTTCTTGAAAACAGCACAACATTTGTTGATTAAATTTTGACTTAAGAGAGCATATTGTACGTTTAAGATTATGATGCAGGTCTCAAGTTTGTTGATATGTCTCATTTTTCGAAAATTGGAAAAAAAGGTTTCGGCGTCTTCCTACTAATGTGAATATATACTTTTTTTTCTCAATGAAATGCGTTCATTAAATAAGGTCATGTTAAATTTTTCGGAAATATGAGTATTGTTTGTGTAATCTGGCGTGAAGCTTAGTCGCCCGCTTCGAATTTTCTTCGCTTCGTGAACGTAATATGAGAAGCACTTGGAGGCAGTTGGAATTTGTAATTTAGAATTAATTACGTAAGTTAGAATTTGTAAGTTAATTACGTAAGTTAAAATTTGTATGGGGATTAGATGGGGTCTTTGACACGGAAGCTGAGTTACATTATTTGTTACAAGCATATTAAGTCTGTTTAAAAAAATATACAAAACAAATGTAAACTAATTCATTATATACCACTGTTTTGTTAAATATACATTATTTTTCTTTTTGTTTATCAGTATAGTTTCTAATTGTATAGAAACAGTTATGAAGCAGAAAATATTTTACTTTTAACTTAAATTTGTGTAACGACTTAAGTTGTTTGTCATCTGGCAATGGGTTGTAAAGTAACGTACGTGTATTGTATGTTGATTTCCGGTAGTGAGCTGTTGGTACTGACACTTGAAGGTTATTTCTACGACGTGTGTTGTAATCATAAATATCAGTATTGCATGAAAATATATTCCCACCATTAAGTAAGTCAGTATGGCATTTTTTTCATTATTCGAATAATTTTCTTTTGCAATCTGAAAGTTTGGATACTACACGATGAGCTTCCTCAGAATAGTATGCCATATCTCAGGCGGGAATGCACATTTGTAAAATACATTGCAACGAGCTGCATGACGGCTGACAGAATTGGAAACGATACTGAATGCATTACATAGCACGCATAACATGCAATTTAGTGTTTAATTCTGTTATATGTACATTCCATTTGAAGTTTGAATTGAGAGACCGAGAAATTTGGTACCTTAACATCAGCTAATTGCATATTGATCATTTTCAATGGAGCATGCGATTGCTGATTTAAAATGCAAAAATGCATTGAAACTGTTTTCACGCCGTTAACCATCAATTTATTACAAAACCAATTTGAAACTTCTGAAATAGTACTATTTATTGTTTCTTTTTTTGCAAAGAACATTCGTGTCATCGGAAAACAGAACCGTTCTTCCACTTTTAATAGACGAGGGCATACCGTTTACGTTAACAGAAAGAGGATAGGACCTAAAATCGAACTTTGCGGGACCCCATATTCAATTGGTAAAGAATTGGAAAGATAAGTAAATAATGTCCTTTTGTGCCAGTACGGTATTTCTACACTTTGAGATCGATATTTAAGGTACGAGGTTATCTAATCTAGGGCGATACCACGAATTCCATAAGAAGGTAATTTTGATAGCAAGATGTTATGATCAATAATGTCAAAAGCTTTCGAAAGATATAAAAATAATCCAGCTTCATTTTGGCCCATTGATGTAGCAACATCCTTAAGAAAAGAAAAAATGGCAGATTCCTTAGATTTCATTTTCTAAAACCATGTTGTGAGTCTGATAAAGCTTTGTTTTTCCTGAGAAAAGTTTCCATTCGCGTATAGAAAAGCCTCTCAAAAATATTTTTGAGAAAACTGACAAAGAGAAATTGGCTGTAATTTTTTAATTTCCATTTTTCCTCCCATTTTTAAGAAGTGGACTTATTTTTTGCTGTTTTTGAAAATATCTGAAATATTCCTGCGCATAAAGAAGCATGAAAATGGGAGTAACGGCGTAATTAAAAGCAGGTACACCAATTAGTTTCAATAAAACAATCCGGGAAATTCATCAAACCAAGATATATTTATTTTTAGTTTACTGTACTATTCGTAAATTTTTTAGAAGAAGGTTTCGAAATAAACATTTCGTGTGCATAATTTTTTTAGGAGGGAATGATGTTGAATTTTGATGGTTTTAGTCCCTTTGTGAGTTCAACCGCAATTCTAGAAAAGTGTTGGTTGAAGAGATTTGCCTCTTTTTTCGGATTACTGACTTCTCTTTCATTATCCTTTAAAATTAATTTTCTACCAAGTATCGAGATGATGTGGTCGTATTTTTTACGATATTCCACATTGCTTTAGTTTCAAGAAAAAAACCCTTCAAATATTGCATAAGTTCTTAAATTGGGCCATAAATATAACACAGAAACTTATGTTGTTACTTTTTCGTATATGTACGTATATACGGAGTATTATACATAGTATAGAGAAACTCATGTAATGCTGCGGAAAATCAATTTCGAGATTTACACGGCAATACACTTTTTGGGGTCCCCTGACACCGAAAGAGTTTTTTTCAAAATCCATCTGTTTGTGCAACTATCTATCTGATTGTCCGTCTGAGAATACAACTAGCAATTAATAATTACAAAATTACACAAAAATTACAAAAATTGAATCTTTTTTTACTTGTCTCTCACGTCAATATTTATATTAGCGACAATTTGTTCACAGTAATGTATTTTTGAGTACTTGAGCTTCAAATAATGCCATCACGTTTCTCAAAAACTCAACAGTTTTCTGTCAAAACCAGCTCAAAACTACGCAGTTTTGGAAACGCTCAAACGCCATTTTCTCAAAAAACGACTCCAATTTTGCATATTATACTGTTTAAGGTAACAAAAAAATAATGTTGTTGTATTCTTTTGTTTAAAAAAAAAACACAAATGTAATTTTTTGAAAAATCTCTCACGTCATTAATATGCACATTTCTAGCAATACAATAATACACATACAATAATGTATATACATTATTGTATTTGTGATTGGAAGTGCTTTAAATAAATTCAAATGAAGTTTATTGAAAACTCAAACAATTCCTGTGAAAAAGAGCTTCAAATTTCGCATTTACACTAACTCTTAAAAGCCTTGTCTTAAAAACAGTTCTAAATTTTTCAATGAAAAATGCTATTTAGGAAGGGATCTCTTACTCTTACTCTTCTTTAATATTCGTAAAGCAATATTTCAGTTCTAGAATTAGAAAACTGACACATTAAGAAAATATTTTGGAAAAAATACTTTGTGCGGCGATAGATTACAGCTGGTAAGAGGATAGGGCAAAACCGCAAAGACAGTCGATACCAGGGAAATTAGTTAACTTTACAAGGAGAAGGACTGTGATTTTCTGTAGCATTTCTAGTTACTTTCCTGCATACGTACAAATATATACGGAGCAATATACGAAGTATAGGGAAAGTTATGTAATACTGCTGAAAATCGATTTCGAGATTTCAATGGAAATACACGTTTTGGGGTCCCCTGACACACAAAAAGAGTTACATGAAGCTCCTGGGGCATTTTCTAAATTTTCTCAAAAACGGCCCCAAATATTTTCTTTAAATTTCTTTTACGAATAGAGTAAAATACGCTTGTAAAGGTGGTATAGGTGCAATTTTCAATCTTAACTCTGAATTTGAGAAACTTGAAAAAGTTTCTCGGGACTCTTTTTTCTTCTCTTCTATTTTCCGGCCTCTTCCTACAACTACAGAGTTAAAGTTAGATTTGGCTAAAGTAATATCAACCCAAATTGGACCATTATAACTGCTTTTCATACAGTCCCAACAATACGACGCAATCAACTGAAATCCCGTTATTCTTGCGAAGGCATTGTTTCATTCCAATCTTATTCTCCCTGAGTGATAATAATTTTTATTTCATATATTTCAAATAGGTTTTAAATAATTTCTAAAAGATTAATTTGTAAATGTTTAAAAAAAGGCTCGAAGAGCCGGAGAGAGAGAGAGAGAGAGAGAGAGAGAGAGAGAGAGAGAGAGAGAGAGAGAGAGAGAGAGACAGACAGACAGAGAGAGATAGAGAGACAGACAGAGAGAGAGACTGAGAGAGAGACAGAGAGAGAGAGACCGAGAGAGAGACAGAGAGAGATAGAGAGAGACAGAGAGAGATAGAGAGAGAGAGATCGAAAGAGAGAGATAGAGAGAGACAGAGAGAGACAGAGAGAGATAGAGAGAGTAATAGAGAGATAGAGAGAGACAGAGAGAGATAGAGAGAGAGAGACACACACACACACACACACACACCAACCGTCCGGAACCACCAATCAGTCAAAAACGAGTAGCACGTGAAGAACTCGCCAACATCAGCACGTGGAATTGAGAGCTCGCTTCCGCTGATGGTGACTCGTCCGAACTTTTCGTGAGGCATTTATTCCTTTGCAATGGCGGTAAGCAATCCAGTTATCGCAGTTTGCGAAGAATCTCGGCTATGCAAGGCCACGCGTCATTGTTAATGTTTTAGGTTGTTTTGTTGGACTGCTCTGTGAAGGAAAATGAAGATATTGTAAGTTTAGCTTAAACAAAAACTATTTAGTTCACTGGTATTAAATGAGAAGATTGATTGACCGAACATTTTCGCTTTGGATCGTAAAACGAAGAAATTTTATGAGAATGTTTTTGCCAACTTGGGTACAAATATTTTTGAATCCCCGGGTTTAAAATAAATGAACTGATTGGTTTTAATAGAATTATACCTTTTTAAGGCAAATCTCTATGAAATTTGGAAAGGTTTTTAAGAGGAAAATTTTAACCGCGAACTTAAGGATATTATTCATTTAGTTAAATTAATGTGCACAGTACCGGCTGCAACAGTATCCGTAGAAAGGAGTTTTTTCTGCTTTAAGAATAATACACAATTATAAAAAATAGGCCCAAGAACAAGAGCGAATATGCAGCTTGTCCGTTGAATTATTTGATAAAGAATGCTTGGTATCTACAGGTGATACAGAGTATTTCTAAAACAGTCATTCAAAATATGCCACAACAACAGGACATGTTTGGACAGTCCATACAGTTGGATGTTTAGAAGTTTTTACACATATTTATTCTATAAATTCATGTATGTCAATACGTTAACTTAAAAGCTTGAAACAAAAGTGTAACAGCTGCAGCACATGGGCGTCGGGTACTCACTCGTCACATTCCAATCGTGTGACACTCGGTCTGGTTTTTGACACTGCGTCTCGACCCGGAGGCGAGTTCGGCTCGTGATTGTTCGGTGTTCGGAACATCCTCTCGATGCATGGAATGCTGAAATTGTAGTGGCTACCCAGTCTAATGTCGGTCCATTTCGAATTGTTGCGGGGAAGGGGTGCGCTTTCTTACAGAATAAGCAATAATCGTAATTAGGGAGCGGATTTCCATGATTTTGCATATTTTTGTTCGTGAAACTATAGGCGCATGTGGTCACATATTTCGTTAGAATGTAAACTTATTTCTAAGCCGTTTTATATTTTCGTAGAATTTATTATTTGTGAGCATTCATTCATTAGAATGTTTTTTTCTTTTCTATATATACTAAAATATTTGTGAAAATGTAGGATATTGCTTGATATCATATTTTTAAACTTGACACAAAAACTTAACAAGGCATACAGTGCTCATCACTAAAGTGAATGTTTACTTTAATTTTCTCCCACGAAGTAATGTAGATTGTATTGTTTGCAGAAAAATATATCTTTTCATTTGAAGCATGCTTCTCCTGAATTTTATGAAGAAAGTTTTATACAGGAAATGAAATATTGTTAATTTTAATTGCATATTAAAGTGCATATTTAAGAATTTTTTGGTCATAAATGCATATTTTTAAAATCATATTTCAAGATTTGTGGGACATAAAAAACCTCTCCTCAATCATAATGAATTATTACAGATTACCAAATGAATTTTGAAATACTAATTATTTTATTTCACATTTATTGATTTGAATGAATTTCAGTTTTGCCTTCATACCAACATTTCTGAAGCATTTTAATATTATCTTAAGGGAGTCTAGGAGATGTATTTGAAAAAATGAACCTTGTTTGGAGCATGTCCGAATCCCCGCTCCCTCGTCGCTTCAGAAAGATAGACCTGGATCTTGGCAAATCTAGGTATCTTCGCAGAAAAATACCACGCCTCGACGCTGGCATACATAATCCAACATTTATCTTTTTATGAAAGTAAGTAATTTTACTATCTAAATTTTCTGTGCGTATCGTGCTTGTATGTGTGAGTAGCATTGTCTGATGTTTGTTGATTATTTTTTCTTCGCATGCATCTGAAAGCGTGATATTAAGTGGATTATTTAAGCTATCTAGCTAGCTACTGTCGAAAATCCTGTCGCCGTCTGGACTCAAACCATAGGATTTTCCGGTCAGAGACACTGCAGTGACATCAGTTGATGCCCTGAGCGAACTCAATCTGTGATGCGTACTAGATCTGGGACCGTTTGTATTAGCCATCAGCTTGCTCAGCGCAGCAGCTTTACCGACAGCCATGATGGAAATAACCATTTCCGTCATGCTGGCCGCATTGTGCTTCAAAATTAGTGGGCAGCTAGTCGAAGTTGGTATTTTGCGTTAGTTGTCGTTGAGACCCGTGTTGATCCGATGATTTGGATCGTCTTTCGCTGAGCATCTCGATCTTAGTTTTTGGTGTAGCGAATTTCAGGACTTGCTCATCCATCCACCTGTTTTGTTTCATGTGCAGCAGAAAAATGGGCCGCTTCACCAGAGATGTATCTAAGTATTCAGGCGCCCATAGCCGACGTAATAATAATAATAATAATAATAATAATAATAATAATAATAATAATAAAAAACAATTCATGATATCAATTCTGTTACCAACTACCTAAAATTTAACAATATTAGTACAGAAACAGACATTTTTTGTCAGGCATTCACCTTCTACAGCACAGGACGCGATATGCCAGTTCTTTTTTCTTTGCTTCAGACAATTTGCGCCCGCCGTCGGGATCCTTCAAATTAGGGTTGTTGTTATTTGTTTTAGTGTGTATACTCTAAAGAGCGCCCCTTGTGAGCGGCCCTCATGGCACATCCCATACCGGGGATCATACCGGGTATGCATGGTCGGCCATACCGTAGATACGCCTCTACGCTTTGGCGTTGCAGGAATCGATGACAATTACAATTTCGTCTGCATAAGCTACGAACCAGGGCCGGCGTAAGAGGTGGGTACGGTGATTGGTAAAACCAACGCGAAAATATTACAGGTGCGTAATTACCCATAAGGAAGTTTGATAAAAAATGGGGGAGGATCTTCAATTTATCTATTAACTTACCTAGAAAAGTTATGAATGTTATTACTGCCGATGTCAAAAGTTAAAAATCGAGGTGAAGCGTAGCGGAGCCGAGATTTTTAATTTGGACGAGGTAGTAATAACACTGTAACATTTCGTGGTATGTTCAGCATTTTATCGGTCATCATAAAATCTCAATTTTTTTTGAGAAAATTTATGACATTACTGCGATAAATGAATTCTGTTGTTTCGGCACGATAATCGATATTGTTGGGTATTGCTTCGACATATCTATTTCAACAATACATTTGTATACCGTGGATCGAGAAAGATGGACGCTGAAAATTCGCCTGTACCTTAGTTTTGTAAGAATTTACCAAATATTTATTTTTCAAACTGCACAATTATTAACAGTATAAATAATAATGAACATCCCCAAAAATAATGCGTTTCGTTTAATTCATATTTGTCTTTTCGTAATAATTCTCTTGTCTCTTCTTTCGTAATAATGTTGACTTGCAATGAATGGGTGGTTGTTTATTTAGATTACTAAGGATGTTAAAACCCGTTGCTAAGGATTTTTAATTTTTTAATCACCATATATCGCCACCATCAAATTGATGGAATAAATTATTTTCGAAATCGACCAAAAACATTGTTCAATATTCAAACTTTGTGCACGATTTACAGTTGTAAATGAGGTAAGGTAAATGGGGCAAGGTAAATCAGGGAATGTCAAAATTGATTAATCCTTCAGTCAAGCGCGAAAGAGGAACACGGTATTATACGCTCACGTTTTCTTGAGCCCCGGATTATCTACCCCCACTCCTTTGCCAACATTAGTTGAATTAAGAATAAATAGTAAACGTTGTAGACAAAATCTGATAACCTGAAATGTTCTCTCCCATGTAATAGAAACTATTTTGCATGGAAAAACGAGCGAATCAGTTTGATATAAATTTCCTTTGTTGAAAATAACCAAACTCCCCACTTCTCTCGCTACTAGCGAAGCGAAGGCTCAAGAAAATGTGCGCGGATTATTTACAGTCTGCGTTTACATTGAACTTAACCTCAAAAAATGCTAATGAAAACCCGAAAAGTTTTAAAATGAATATGGAAGTTATCTTTTCCATTGCTGGCAAGTAAAAAGTATAGAAATAAATTATTATTGTATTTATATAAATTATTAATAAAACTTTTTGGATAAACTTTATATTTTTATACCATATTCATGTTTTTTTAAAGAAAAATTAATTCCATTTAAAAACTACTTGACACCCTCCATGTTTCTACCTACCTGAAATTTATACGTTGCGTCTGCTCTGCTATCAACGATACTCTTTTTGGCAGACCATTATATCTAGAACAAGCTCCGTATCGTACACAGGTAATTGATTCATGATTAGCTCCAGGAGATGTTGGTTCCAGGTTCCGCTGGTACGTTACAGGTATATTGCAGCGCTGTATACAGGTCGCTCTAATTCGCCGAGTACGGATATAATCAATACAGCTCTTCCTTGCTTCGTCTTATCATGTTCTTCAGCCTTCTGTGGTTTCTCTTTTTAATTGCGTACCAGTTGTCTCTGCTTTCGTGCAATTTCGTATTCCAAGTGACACCCACATTAATCATAGATTTTCTCCGCCTTTGCTTCCACACTAATAAGGATGAATGGATCATTGCTGCGATCTAAAAGCGCACTCATATCGTGGAATGATGTAACCATTACTGATAATAATAATAATAATAATAATAATAATAATAATAATAATAATAAAAATGATCTAGAACATAACAGGCCCGATATTGTCGATATTGTGGTAACTCTAAAGGTGATAAAAACTGCTTTTCTCATTGATGTTGCAGTCTCTTTTTACAAGAACATGCAAAAAAATTCTCGGAAAAATAAGGAGGTACAGTGATCTGGCATAGGAAATCAATCAATACATAAATAAATAAGTAAATAAATAAACAAACAGAAACAAACAAACAAATCTCAAAACATTAATACATAGATTAGATTTATTTAGTAAAAAATAGTCAACACTATGTGACGTATGGGAGAGAAAATCATATGCGCACGTTTTCTTGAGTTCCAGATTTCCTTCCCATCTAACTATAAATAGTTGAAAGATGAGTAAAAGTTTAAAATAATTAAATCAAAGTAAATTTTAAAAAAGGCGCGAGATTAGCAATATTTGAAAGAAATAGACATTTTCATTCCCGAAATATACAAGAAAACTAAATAGTAGCTCGCCCTTACCTCCACTCCTACCATTACAAGCAAAAGGAGAGTTCAACAAAGAGTTCAACGTGCGCATAGTGAAGCTACATTTACGTCCAGAAGCAAAACAAAGGGCCATCTCAGTATTTGCTCAATGGATCAGGGAAACTGGACAAAAACCTGACAGTGATGAGACTTAGTTGCCGACAGGCGTCTTGGTATCATGTGCACAACCCTCGCCACAGAGCCGAACCTTATCGCCTCCGCGACTTCGTGTGAGTCAGATGAGCGGCAACGCTGAACACTGGTTATGAGAAAGTAGACAAATCCTCGCAAGCTGATTGCTTCAGAACGGATCACATGACGCACCACAGCGCGGGACGGGAGAACTGTCAGTCGCTTGTACGCTGCCGGCACTACAGCTCTCTCGTCGTTTCAACAAAAGACGGTCTGGCTGTGCCACATTAAACCGATCAGTGTGACGCCATGTTCACTACGAGCAGTTGTAACAAGTACTAACACTGGGGAGGGGAACTGCCCCTTTTTGGATACAAAAGCCAACCTCTTGATTTCCTCCGAAGGACTCAGAAGAACGTTTTTTTTTCATTCCTCCTTGCTCCCCCAGGTAGGTGGGAGGGTTATGGCCTAACAGGTGGTGAAATCACGTGACTGCCCACGAAGGGCGGTCAAAGGCTGGGACGAGTTACTCTTTGGGCTGCCTGCCTCGGCACTCTCACCCTCTCTGCACCGGCCCTGTTTAGGTGGCTCACGGAATCAATTGAAGTCATTGCAGTGCCTCTGACCGAAGGTTCTTGGGTTTGAGTACCGACCGTGGCAAGGATTTTAGACACCAGCTTGTAAATGGCTGGGCCGAATTCAGCCCCTGTTGGGAGGAGAATTCTAGCCGTCGGCTGCTCTGATCGATAGCTTTCCGTTGTTTCTCTGATCAACACGAGGTGAATAACGGAGCAGGACCTTAACAAACGAGACACAGATCGCGCGCGATCTTTCCTATTTTTCCCTTGTCCTATCCTCACCCCTTACACACACAGACATACACACACACACACACACACACACACACTACACTACCACTCATGTCGGAAGCCCAGTCGGGAGCTTAGAGCTTCCGGGTAGTGCTGTGCTCCACAAGTGGGTGATACCTTGATGGATAAAACACTGCATGTCGATTTGTAGGCCGGATCTCACATTCTTCTCCAGACTGCAGCTGAATTCGATTTAGCTATGTAGCTGACGTCGAAGATCCTGCCGTAGTCGGTACTCGAGATCTAGAACCTCTCTGCCAGAGGTTCTGCAGTGACATTCAGTTGAAGCCTTGAGCCACCTATACTTCCATTTTTTTAAAGTGGCCGATGTTAGGTCATTGTTATACCTCCTGCCTTATAAAATGAATATTTTTATTTAATTCGCAAACTTCCCAACGGTTCTCGTGTCATCTGAAATGTGCTTACCAGTGTTAAAAAGATTCATTTTATTCAGGAAGTGTAACAAAAACTTAACGTTGTCGGCCACTTAAAAAAAAAAAAAGAGTCGAAGTATAAGTTGGTGTGGCGTGGCGAAGAGGAGCGTTGCGTGGCGGGGTCTGAGCGTGGCATGGTGTAGCGTAGCGAGTGTGACGACGAAGCAGAAGGGGTGTGGCGTAGCAGAAGCGGGCCTTGCGGAGCAAAGTGTGGCAATGCGGATCTTTTTCTTCCAAGAAACCACGGGAAACTGCCGGTCGGAGAAGCTGGTCGCTAGAACCCTCCTCCACACAACTGAACTCGGGCCAGCTATGTAGATGGTGCCGAAAATCCTGTTGTTGTTGTTGTTGTTAGCCAACGCCCACCCTTGACATGTTAGCCATTTGGTGACGCGCCGACCAGTACATATAGTGCAGACCTTCTCGGCTTGTAGGGCTCCGCACACCCACAATGGTCAAGCGCATAGGTGGCGAATCACTGTTGCTCATTTAGCGTTACACATAGAAGAGAGATACAACTACAGTGCGCGTGAACCTACTGCGCAGGTTTCAACATGCGGTGGCCGCAAGTCACGTGACTTTGGGACACCGGCAGCTTGTTTTGCCTTGTATTGGGTTTACTTTTGCGTGCTGTTTGTTATTTCTGGTGCTACAGCGTAATTATTTAGGGGCCTACAAGTTTAGCTAGGATCATCTGGAAATGTTTTTCAGCTGCATACGAAGCAAAGGCGGATTCAACAATAATCCTACTGCTAAGCAAATTGCCTGGGCTTACAAGCGATTACTGATGCATCACCAGATTTCTTCTTCTGTCTTCGCGAATTGTGTTCCACAGGATGAAACAACTATATTAAATGTTAGTTCACGTCAGTGTACAAGTGTGTCACAAGTGAATGATCCTTAACTGTGCATTGAGGTACCAATTGACCATATGTACTTCCCATCCGTAGACAATCTTCAAACTAGATTGTCTCCCTATGTCGTGGACATTGTAACGTATATTAGAGGATTTGGTGGTAAAAATATGGAAATTTCTCTTGCTTGTTTGGACTGGTAGATAGTTCTTTGTCGACTGATAGTGGACGAAGACACACAACACCCACAACATATCGGGAAAATATCAGAGAAGATCCAAGAGTATACCACTCGCCCTATGAAGTCGAACTCAGTGGAACTTCGTAAAGTGACAACTGTGCCTATAATAATATCAGCTACGGGAGTGATCCGAAAATGACACTTCGGGCACTGGGGTCTTCACTTGGATACCAGGAATGTATATAATATGCAAAAGACAGTAATTTTGAATACATGCCGTATTGTCAGAAGCCATCTGAACTTCAGTAATGCAACCACACACCTGGTCATCATACCTGTGTGTGGTTGACATACCGACCAGTAGATGCTGTGAATGATGTAAGACAATTAATAATAATAATAATAATAATATCATAATAATAATAATAATAATAATAATAATAATAATATTTAATAAAATTTAAAAAGCGCGAGGTTAGTAACATTTGAAAAACTAGACATTTCCGTTCCCGAGTTATAGAAAATGTATTTGCAGTAAATGAACTGCAGATTAAATTTTTCTGCATTGCTAACAAAATAGTAACTCTCCTTAGAGAAGGATAATTAATATTTATTAAGAAATAAAGATACAGAAAATAAGAAATCAACTACACTAATTTAAATCAAGATTAAAACGCCAAGACGCTGGCAAGAATTTCGAACCTGAAATGAACATAGTTTGTCTATGCTGAAATTAATTGAAACGGATAAATATATGGAATTAACCAGATGTTCGCGTTGGCCGCATTGGTTCTCAGTGTCACGATCGCTCACGTGAACTTTTTGAATTACTCTAAAAAAAATGCTCATTCAGCTGATTCGCGGAGTAAATCGGGGAGTATGTACTCTAGACTAAAATAACCCACCACAAGCGTGGTGAAACGTTTATATTCTACTCGAGAGTAACTATCGTAGAGTAATACTACTCTTTAACTTTACTCAGCTCAACTTTACTTGCTGGTGAAACCGGCCCTAAGATCATTAGTTCCGTGAGTGTAGTGTATTTTCATCGCGGGAGGATGCTTTGAACTTCTCCTGCAGGATGGCGAGATCCGGCGTTGACTTATACTAGTCGACCTGCAGGGTTTTCCTCAACCAGATATCCCTCACCAGCGGGATACCGTCCCCGTTGGGGCAGGCTCTAAGCTCCCGATATGTGTGGTAATGCAGTGCATGAAAGGCATGTATGTGTAAGCAAGAATATGACAAGGAAGGGGAAAGAAAGATCGCGCGCGGTTCAGGGACCGTTTGCTAGAGTACCGCTCCGGCAATGCCGTCTCTATAGTGCGGTTTCTATAACTTTGCCCCTCAAGGCTCTACTTCACAGTGGCATTACGTCACTGTATTTCGCATTTTTCTCGGTCGTGCCGCTAGATGTCGCATGATCCAGCACTGCTATACGGTTGCGATCATGCGACATCTGGCGGCACGGCCGAGAAAGACGCGAAAATCAGTGACATTGTGAAGTAGGGCCTTCAGGGGTAGAGTTTTAAAGACCGCACTATAGATTAGGCACGTGTTGCTATGGCGTTCGTCTGGTGTTGATTGGAGAAACGACGGAAAACAGCCGATCAGAGCGCTGAGGCTAATCACTTGCAAGTTGGCAGATAA